TTTTCCCTGACTCTCAGGATGCCACAGGCCTTTCCTGTGCCAGCCTACAGGCCGTGTCTTTCCCCTGCTGAAAAGTCCCAGCTCTACTCAGATGGTCCTTTGTGGAAGCCATTCGCCCGCTGAACTTCCATGCTGGATTGCTCTGAACCTCTCAGTTCAGCTGTCTGGAGGTACCAGACCGCACCCAGGACTAGGGTCCAGGCTAGGCATCATGTAGACCTTGGCGTAATGATTTTCTTCCTTTTGTTCTCTCTTGCTTTCCTAGTTACTTGTAACACGCGATTTCCCTTTTTTCCCAACTTTTTCCTGGGCAATGTTTTTGTGGCACCAACCAACAACCAAGGAGTTTTCCCTGACCCCTGAGGGAAATGGACAGCTCAGAGCCTGGTGTTTTTCTTGTACAGGAAGCTGAGACTGTTTTCTGCCTCAGTTTAACCTTTCTTCATAATCCTTTTTTTCTTTTTTGAAGTTTACAGACAGAAGGAAGGTTTTTTTCTGCTTTAATTACAGATAAAGAACTTGACTGGTATTAGAGGACAGAGCTGTGTGAGATATTTCCAGAGGTCCCCTGGAAATACCTCATTTGGATCATAATTCCGCACAAGAATTTACGTGCATGTGATTTTTCAGTCCATTTAAGGTCCGCCTTAGTGCTCAGTCCTATTAATGTACGTAACAGAATGTCACACAGGATGAAGTTGAATGTCCTAAGAGAAGTCTGAATATCCCAAACTGTTATTGTCAAAAACCACGTGAACAATCCCATCAAAATAACAATTTTACTGGACCTATTTGACACAAAACTGTGATGACTGACAGTATTTTTGCTACTGCTTTCTATTCCCTAGAGAATAAGGGGGTGAACCAGAGTGTCAACACTACAGAAAGCTCGTTCCATTGCACCACTGTCCTCACCTCGCGTTGGAGGAGCTGTACCACATTCATACAACTCCTGGTTAGACCGGAGTCCGTACTTCTATTTTTTGGTACTATTCACACAGTGAAGCTAGCACACCAGCTTTTGTTCCGTGTGCTGTCACTCTCTCCTTCTCCTGAGGGCTACTGCTGTTTAATAGCTCTCCAGACAGGGAGTCTGCCCAGCTGTCTTCATGATCGTGCAGAGGGTCCTATTCAGAAGCACTTTGTAAATCCGACCGTAAATGGAATTCTGATCTGAACATTTGTCGTGTGCTTAGTGTCAACATCTTCAAAATTGTAACTTCTCTCCTGGCTAGAAGCAAGTTGAAATTGCTTTTCTTGGAAAGTAGAATAAGAAGGGGAGACGCAGGGCTAACGCACATGCAAACCAGAATCAGCACTGAATAAGGTGCAGTTCTTTATGTCCTTTTATTTTGTTTGAATAGCTGCCCTAGGATAGACGTGACCCAGAAGTCTTTATTTTTCAGGGATTATTCATTTCTTGTTTGGGCTTTCTTTTCTGTACACAGTTCTCTCTCCTTGCCTGTGTTTTTGTCCTCGCATACTCATATTTTATCCCTAGAAATCATTTGCCTGAAATAATACTTTATAGATTCTGAAACTCAAGGGGATGTTTGACAGCACCAGCTGAGTGTGAGAGGAAGATAGGTAAAAGGCAGGGAGCCACCTTGCCCAGACGAGCAAAAATCCGATTTCTTACATCTGTGAACCTTGTTTCTTTGTCTTTGGCTTGGCAGAAGTTCTTCCATTAAGACAAAGAAGATCAGAGGTCCTAGAGTTTGCTAATGTTAGCTAAATACAGCAGCCTAAATTCAGTTAATCAGGAGAATGCTAATGAGTAGCCACCAAAATCAAATTATCAGCAATTGCTCATCAATTTTTTTTTTCATTTTTAAATACTATATGAGTGGGTAAGCCTCATGAAAGCCACTCTTCTTAAGAGTTTATTGAATATCAGGTTTTATTAGTTACAATCACATTTGATAGTTCTGAGTTACACAAGTCATATAGTCAGTAAGTATGTGTTTTAATGCAGACATGGATATTGATTAACAGGAATCAAAGTTTTCGAGTAGGTAGCCTGTGAATCTCATGCTCTTAAGAGATGCAAGTGCATTATCTCATCATGGGGTAGCATCTACTGAAATAGATTCAAACTGTCTTTCACTTGTGTTTGGCATTCTAAATATCCTGAGGGTTTTTCATAAAAAATCAAGGCCTAACTTCTCAGACTTTCTCAGAAAAATGCATTACCCAAATCTTAGGTGACCCCCAACTTATTTCTGAAATATCCTTATACCATAGTAATCTTTATGCCGTAAGGTCCTCTGAGAATCTTTTATTTGCAGAGTAAGTTTTTGGAATTTCACTTGTTTTAACACAAGTTCTCCTTCCTGTCTTTATGCAATATTCATGCGTCTGAAGGAACTAGAAACACTGGAAATGCTGAAAACCAACAGTCTTAAAAAAAAAAAAGTTTGTCCACTTGTAAGAAAAAAGTTATTTTGTCCTTTTTGTTTTGTTTTGTTGCTGCCTGCATGAATGTTAAATCCAGGTAAGATGATTTTGTTTCCCTTCTAGTTGTTTGCATGGATGTTTTTCTTTGCTTGTATGTAACCTTTGTTCTCGTGTTCTTTTGATGTTGGTTCCATATTTGTACATTGTTCTGCACAGTCATTAAACTGCTTTAAACACTTTGCATTCCTTTTGGTTTCTCATAATCCCCAGGCCCTGAAGGAAACATGATTTGGAAATTGAGGGAGGGTGTTTTTCTGTCTTTAGATCACTGAAGGGAAAGGTCTGGCTCTGCTGGGTTAATGCAATTTTTATCCATCCATATTCACATTTCCAGTATAGCTAACTGAAAGACTCAACAATTGATAAAGTTTGACCCCTATTATATCTATAAAAGACAGACTTCTACTGTTCTTTCCCTCTTGGCTGGTTCATGAGTAAGGAGGTGCTATGTTCTTCTCAGCTGACTGTTGGAGGCTGCGCACTTTATTACTAGAGGTATTTCTGCAGTGTAGACTGTTCATACTGTGTCTTAGTTTTCATTGTTACTAGATGTTTAGTGTTGTTGCTATTCTTTCCTCATCTCAGGTCATCAAAATTATTCTCTCTAGGAGAATTCACACAGCTGATACTACGCTATTTTGCCATCTATAATGGTTAGTTACCTTTTAGCTAGTCCATAAATATGCTACTTGTGCTTTTGTAGTAAGCAGTGATGCTGATTTTCGTCCCAAGTTATTGGAAGCGCTGAAAACTGGTCGCTTTAAGGCTGCACTGTGATGCTCCATCTTCAGTGTCAGGGAAGACCTCCAACTCCTGAATTCATACCGGCTGCAAACGTTCTTTTCTTGTTCCTTAGCTCACCTGTGGTCTCAGTTGCACTGAGAAATCCCAGGTGGTTAGGAGGAGGACTGAAGCACTTCCAAGCAGACTTTTGGCACTGAAACCAGTAGTCCTGGCTTTCCTGTGTCTAGGGAAAACCAGAGTCAAACATTGTTGATATTTACAGTGTTCTGTTCCAAGTAGCACAGCCTCAAGCCCTGCTTATTCATTTGGTATTAGCTGAGATTGGGCTTACTTCGCTATTGTCTGCTCCACAGGCTTTGAATCCTAAACTGAGATTTTTATGTTCTGTTTATGCAGGGTGCTGCAGGTTTTGGTGAAATTATCTCTTTCACTGGTGCCTCTGTGAGGACAGCCTCCAGCACCAGCCGTGCCTCTTTATGATTCTGGGTATTATAGCTGTTTTCTTTGTAGCAGTTCATACCTTCCCTCTTTCCTTCCTGTCTCAGAGAAGAGAGGAATGATTGAATGAGCTAGCTTTTTAACCTCCTGAGGTTGGTGGTTCAGGCACTGCTGCTGTTTCTGCCCTTGCCTGTACAGTAACAGCCATCTGCTTCAGCTGTGGTGGTTGGCAGCAAGTTTCCAGCATGCAGGAGAGTCCTTAGTGATAGGTTCCTCAGGAGAGAGGTGATTGTCATATCACTTCCTTCTTCCTTGCCATATTTCTTCTAGTCAAGGGGAAGCTGAGGCTTGTTATTACACAGAGTCACAGAATGGTGGGAGTTGGAAGGGATGCCTGGAGATCATCTAGTCCAACCCCAACAAGTCAACTTGTTGTCTACAACAGCTCCCAGTTCCTTCTCTGCAGAGCTGCTCTCCAGCAGGTCGACCTCCAGCCTGTACTGGTGCCTGGGGTTATTCCTCCCCAGGTGCAGGACCCTACACTTTCCCTTATTGAACCTCATCTGGTTCCTCTCGCCCAGCTCTCCAGCCTGTCCAGCTCTTGCTGAATGGCAGCCCAGCCTTCTGGCATGTCAGCCACTCCTCCCAGTTTTGTGTCATCAGGAAACTTGCTGAGGGTGCACTCTGTCCCTTCATCCAGGTCATTGATGAATTCATCCTTTAGCTTATCTTTGGACCACTTTTTAGGGAAGACATTGCCCATCACACTTTATTGACAGCCAGAGAGCTTTTCAGGATTCCTTTAAAATGTATTACTAGATTACTTCAGTTCCCTCGAAAAGATGCTGACTCCGATGACAACATTCAGGACATTCTATGACCGTGATGATTTCTGTGGGTGAAGCAGTTCTGTACATGGTTCTGATTTTGTGGTTTTCTTACACCCTATATGGTCAACTGGAGGAACAGAGTTATCTCTGAAGGCACTATTTTTGTGATTACGATTTGTTTTCCTCCTCACTTGTGGTGATGATTGTGGAAGGAAAAAAAACAAGTAAGCTGCTCTTTAGACGATTATGGTTTTGGAAAAGGAGCCGCCTCCTTGGAGCCACCGAGCTTAGCCTAGAAATGTGCAAAGCTTTGTTAGCTCTCTAAGAGCTCAAATTCACTGGTCAGTTGTTAATCTTCATTAATGTTCTGTACTTAAGGGAGGGTTGATTCCCTTCTCTACTAGAGATTTGTTTGACAGCCAGAACCTATTTGGAGGCATCCTTGGACACTATGGATGACCCCTAATAGCCTCTCTTATTTTACATACTTTTTAATGTTTTGAATGCTGAATTGCAGAAAGATGTAGTCTTTGACTGAAGGATGGTTGTCATTTTTTAGGTCCCTTAACATCTCATAGGCAAGCAAAAGCAAGTGACGCTAATTCTTTTTTCTGCAGAGACTGCAGCCTCTTTCTCTGTTCCTTTCCTGGACCTCTACTAATTGTGGGGCTGTTACTATTGCACAGGCCTTCTACAGATACCAGTTCCTCATCTGAGCTCTTCTCCTTCCCATCAACATTCTTGAAAAAAAATAACATGGGACTCAGTCTCCATCAGTTGAGGACACCGTTTCAGTGTGAAAGAGATCCAGATCTTTATGCAGTGTTCCTTCCATAGAGGGCATTTGCATGAGCTCATTCTCACTTCTGTCCCAAAGTAATCTCTGCCAAGGAATTAACTGGTTTCATCCCCAAACTGAATACCAGTGGCTGAGGTTCTTATTTCATCCTCAGCATTGCTAAGGACTTTTCTTTTTATGCTGGTAAAGTCATTTCAGAGTTTGGTCGTGTTGGTGCTGAAAGCTGCAAGATCTCACCCATTTCTGTGCAGATAGACAAACTGTTGTCGAATTATAGCAAGTCTGTTTTGGAGACCACAAGACATTTCCATTTGTCACTGGGCTATAGTCCATCAGAGCTCAAGTTGTACCAGTTGTTGGGAAAGCATGTTTGTCAAGCAGCCATCTGGAGGCTCTCCATACCTTCCACACCTTCTCCAAAAAACGTGCTGTTGTAGAAGCACCAACAGGGATGTAGCATGTGGCAAAGTGGATTGAAATTGCAGGATTCAGAGGCCTGTTTCTGAGGAGGTACAAGTCTATGACAGTTACTGGTTAGTCATGCACAGTGTTGAATATACATGAACAGTCTTTTGAAACAAAAGAGAAAGGAGGTTACTTAACCTCCTTTGAGGCAGGCCATCCAAACATACATGTCCCCTGCCCCACATCCTTCCAGGTGTTCACTGTTGTTGGGATCTTGCAACACAATGAACAAAACCTCATGGTTTGCTACCTCCTCTGTGCATCAGGTGTAATGAAAGAAGCACAGGACTGATTAAGAACAAAAATTTGTTACCCAGCTTTGAATGTTTATATGTTGTGAATGTAAGCCTTGAGTGCAATTCTGGATAGCTTTCATTGCTCCTAAAATGAGCTTTCTGTTACCTTAAGACTGAAGAAGAATCTAAATATAACCAGCATTGTTATCTAGCATGCTGCTTTAGAACTCACTTAATGTCTATGGACATCCCACTGTATTTTTCCTTTCAGTGATTAATTCCTGCACTTTTGTTTCTCTGTTATGCTTTAAGTGATTGCTTGTCCATATATCAGTCCTTTGGCCAGCTAGGGAGTCATTGTGGCCTAGAAAGCATACTGGCAAAGCTGTTGCTCTCCCCCTTTTTGGTATGAGTTTTAAATGCTGCTCTATCTGAATCTCTGTATCTTTTCATTGTAAGGACCTGAATATTTCTCTTTTCTCTCCTACTCTGCTCGTTTTTGCAGTGCACGCTGTTGAGAGTAAGTGTTGCTGTATCCCCCACCCCCAACTGTTTTACTACAGAATTAACGCGATTTCTATTATTTGCTGTGCCCATAAATCTCCTTTGGGAGGAGCTGTTGATCTAGGCTGGGATTTGAGAAGATTTTCTGAAAGCTAAAAGGAGAGTCATCCCAGATCATTCTTCTGTGGTAAATGAGGTCACCAGATGGAAAAAGGTTGAGAATCTTCAGATTGTCTTAAGTGATTTTAATGTATCAGTGTTGGAGAGAATATGGTGGCGGATTATTAGTTGCTCTGTGCAAATAATGTAATTGTGAGGACATGGTGACCCGTTGGAGAGAGTTCTGCCTTTTGAAGTTAGATGAGATAATTATCTCATTTTATCTCATTTAATCTCATTTTTACAACAGGCTAGAGAATTTCTCCTGGGAATTCATGCACCTAGCCTGCTAATCTCAGAATACTCAGTAGGAGGTTTTCCGAGGGTTTGTAAGCTGTTGGATTTTTTTTTTTTAGGGGTAATCACGGTGATTACAGGTTGAGATGTGATGTTTCGACTCGGTAACATCTGGTAGAGAGCTCAGGCTCTCAGCTTTGCTCACTCCGCCCCCGCTGCAACGTTTTCTGTGTTGCTCCCTGCCTCAATCCCATCTTCAGGATGTATTCTTATGCCACTCATCACCTTCCTGCTACTGTGCTCCTGTAAGATATTTTCCTCCAAAAAATTCATCCCCAGCTTGCAAATTGGTGTCCTAGCTCACCTCAGAGCAGTGTGTTTGGGTAGCTGTGTCTTGGGTTTCTTGCAGTCTGAATGTGTTTACTGACAGAGTCCTGAGTGGCTGGAATTGCTCTTAACCCTGTTTTACAGGTAAAGGACTGAATTTTGGAGCCTAAGGAGGCTTTGTGGTTGTGCGGGTCAGGAATGCAAGAGGGGGAGAATTCTTCAGTTAGACAGCAGTTCTTAAAACTGTGTTACTAAAGCAGGGAAGAAAACTAGGTTATATAAAACCAGGCAGAGTTCTCGACGAACTTAAGATGTTTTACAGCTCTCTCTTTTACCTAGCTAGGTGCTTGTCTGCAGTGACGGAAAGGAAGGAATGTGTTTATGTTTCTTCAGAAGTAACAGTCTCTGGTCCGAGCTGACAGTCTCTTAATATCTTTCGTTTCCTCATTCTGTTTCTTCTCTAAGCAGACTAAATAGCCTGTTGTTTTATACTAAGCAAACTGTGGCTAGCTAAATAATTATCTGCAACCTAGTGTATATAAACGTGTGCTTAGCATAATCGGCAGTGATCAGAGATAGGTAAACCTGTGATCTGGTCAAAGACTGGTTTTAGAAACTGAACGAATAAATCGTGCTTTTTTGTGGAGTGGTAAATCATTTCTTGGAGAGGATTTTTATAAAGGCTAATTAATCGGCTTTTTTATCTGTGGAAGGCATAGTAGAGCACTGTGGGGGTGTTTTGCTGTGGTTAGTCATAACTGTTAAAATGGGTCAGGCATGATATAAACCTAGTAAGACAGTTAGTGGCTGGTCTTTCTCAAGTGCTGCCCTTGAGTGTCTCTAGTACTGCACTATTCCTGCCAGACTGGTCAGCCTTACTCGTACTCAGCTCCCACTTCCCGGTTCAACGAGTGTGGCTGCCCAAGCCTTGAGGCCGATTAACGCCATAATCCTGTGCAGGGTTCTAGGAGCACAGCTGCCCGGGGGAGCCTCCCTGTGCCTCCCTGCACTCTGCCAGCACAAGTACTCGTGCAGCAGTGGGTTCACCTTGCGCTGGAGCTGCGCTGGCTAGAAGAACAGCCTCGCATAAAGCAGTACTTCCATTTCAGCCTGTGGTGTTCTCTGATGTGGCTCCTGACTGAAAGGAGGGTGGGACAGGAATAAAGCGTGAACAGAAAGATAGGGGGGGCAAAGGCTGTTTTATTACTTTAGCAGTAGGCCCAGTTTAAATGAGGATCCTCCAGAGCCAGGATCTCTGTGTGGAAGGTTAGCCTGCTGGTGTCTGTACAAAAGGCAGCGGGACTTGACGCTTCCCTGACAGCTAAGCCACTTAGCTCTTGAGTGCAAGTAATACAGCAAGGTGTTGCTGGTAACCGTTAAGAAAAAGTGTAGCATAACCCCAGGGCCACCTTTTCCTCCTTTCCTTTTGCTGCCCACCATTTCCCACCTATTTCCAAATTTTTAATAGGAATTTATTTTGTAAAGCCAAATGAGTTCATTGATCCAGTGGCCAGCTCAGGCACACAAACCACTGTGCTAGTGGCAGGGATAGCACTGCATCCTTGTCAGAGACAGCAAGGGGAACATCTGAAGGCAGTGCAGCTCTGAGCTCTTTGTCATGCAGAACCGTGGCCTCAATGCCAGTGACTGCAGCCTTGGTTGGTGAGTGTTGAACGTTTTAACTGTGAAAGGCAAGGGCCTCTCCCTAGATCAGAGCTTTAGGAGGGGTTTAGTTTAGTCTTAGCATTTCCCTTTCTAACCGTACCTTCTCTGTTTTGCACGTATATCTCTTTAGGTTTAGGAAGGGGTTTATATAAATACAGGTAAATCTTCTGGTGTTTTATGGAAAGATATTAATGGAAAAAGCACACTCACGTTAAGTAAACGTTTTAAAGGAGAGGCTAGTTCCCATTAGTTCTTTGACTTTGCAGCCTGTCTTTTCTAGGCTGTATATCAGAAACCCTTCAAGGGAGCAGCATTCCTAATCTTTGTTAATAATGTAGCAACACTTGGTGATCTCACTCCATCAGCTCCTAAAAGAATAGCGCATGATTTTTGAGCTGAGGTTTTCTTTGCTAAGGTGAAAAGTTAGGTCTGACTTCCTGAGCACATGCATTTACCGTTTAAATGTGCCACAGCCCCTAGCTGCTTTAAGATGGTTGTGTGATGTTGGGTAAACCTGGTAGGAGCAATACTGGAATGGAGTTATCGGTTGTATTTTCATCCTAAGACTGACGCTTCTGGCATTGCATAAAGTCGTTGAAGTTGCCAACCAAAAGGTACCTGTTGCCTCCCACTGCCCGTGTCTTTGCCCAATCCCATCTGGGGGTGCATGGTGCTGCCAGCATCGCCATATTGCTGTGTGCAGGAAGGGCAGAGAGAGGGCAGGCTAAATTCCCCAAATCCTAGCAGTGGTGACAGTCACCTTGGCCCCACCAGTGATTTGCAAATAGCCTGCTCAGGCCCTCCCTGCAAAGACTTTTCCTTTCTTTGCGTGTCCTCCGGGCAGCAGTAACAAGACTGATAGGCAGAGCGCTGAGAGTTGCCGAGATGGTGGTGATTTCTTTAGGGCACTTGCATGTGATGTTAAGGCACAGCTCTGTGCCGGTGTTAGTTTAGATCTGTTGTGCCTCTGTGTTTTACAGGAGTTGGAGGAGTTATGTGTATCAGATGGTGACTGAGATAACAGGGAAGTTTTCCTTGCTTACCCCTGGGATCTTGTTTTTGCCCCAGATTAAGAATACATTCAGGTGAGGACTCACCTACCTAATCTGAAGTAACCCCAAATTAAAGTTGCTTTCCTTCACTCTAGCAGCAGCTAGTCTATGTCAGGAGGGGAATTGCAGCAGTTTTATCTATCATTTGCATGCAGTGCCCTGCTGCAAGCAAGAGAGAAACACCGGTGATTTTTTGGCCATTTTAGATGGTGATGGAAATGAGAGGAGCTCCCTTATAAGCTAGAATAAGGTAAATAGATATGCTTGTTACCACAGTCTGAACTATATTGTTTAAACAATTTTTCTATTACAGTTCACGATCTGCAGAGCTTTGGACTTGATAATGTAAGTGTTGCCAAGATAGTGTTCTAGTTCTCTTGTCTATTTTCCTTCTGGATTTCCCTCCCTTTGCCACATTGAGATCCTAGTGTGCTGATCCCGGCCAGATTTGGCTTTAGGAGTCTGAGCAGAACCTGGGACCTGCTTTCACACAGCGCTCTGAAGTCTGTTCTGGGACATGTGCATGTTGCTTGGCAAGCCTGTTCCCCACCTCCTGAGACTGCCTTGCTCCTTAATCTATGCTTCCCCATTTTCTGAGGTTGACATTTTCACAGCTGCTTCTGGATCTGTTGGCGTTTACCTTGTGCTGGGCGGAAAGCAGGTGATACCCATACCTAGGGCACCAAGGGAGCTGAGAGCATGGTGCTCCTATGGCAGGGAGAGGAGTGGGTGGGAGAGCCCGCTCTGCAGATGGGAGGTAAGGGCACCAGGATCTGGGGATTTGAAGAAGTTCTGTAGCTTAGAATCTCCCATGAATAAAATAGAAGAGCAAGGACATTGGAGTTTACTGTTAGGACACACAGAGTAAGGGAGGGCCTTTCTCTGTTTCAGAGCCACACTCAGAAAAATATACAATTAACTTTAGGCCCTTGCCTTGCCCCTTGGATGCTGTGCCATTGTTTGAGTTGTTAGCATTTCCATTTCAGATCAATATGACACACTATATCAAACATCTCTCGTTTGGAAGGGATTATCCAGGCATTGTGAACCCTCTGGATGGGACGGACGTCACTGCGCAGCAAGGTAAAAGCCAGCTGAGAGAAATCTCTTTTTTTTTTAAGTGTCTGTATTAAGAAGCATTAGAAGAGAACAGGAGCCAAGTTCCCAGTCTTTAACAGGAACCCTGACAGCATTGCGTAAAACGTGGTGGCCTCCACCTTGTGCCCTTTCTGGCACAGCTGACTCCATTCATCTGGAACAAATCTGCTGACAGGTTTTGATTCTGTGACCTTTCTGAAAGATCTCTCTTTTCAGTGTTCATGGATGCGCAACAGCAGGTAGAGCACATCATTATTAAATGCCTACATGGGATGTAGTTCAGGGAGAGCCCTGTCTAGCTACTGTGAGCAGTAGGAGATAACCAGAAGAGGCAGAATAGAGAAGAAAGGCCTAATTGATAGTTGCTGGAGAGCCGTGGTGTCTTCCTGACCTGTCTGCCCAACAGTAACAGCTGAACAGCTGCAGTGAAGTTGGACTATTTATTGTGATCTTTGTAAGATAGCTCCAGTTTCCTGGCTTCAGAAGGAAAGGCAGTTCTCTCCTCCTGCTACTGCTGCCCAAACTATAATCATGGTTTATTCACACAAGCCTGCTTGTGTGCATTTTCCGTGAAAGATCCTGACCGTACCACTTCGTGTGCCACTGCAGAGATTAGTTACTTTTTTTAGATCCACTGAAGTCTGCAAAGTTTGTCTTGGCAGGTACTTGGGGTGCTGTTACACAATAAAGCTTGGAGAAAGAAGTCGTTCGCTTTGAGGTGGTGGTAGGGTTGTTCATCCTAGCTGAATCCATTCTTTTAAATTTTCCACCATCGACTTTAACTCTTGTACTAAAATCAAATGATGGTGCTTTATAAAGACAGAAAAATGAAAAGGTGTCATAATGCTCGATACGATCATGATGCCCTCATTTTTCTGTGGAGTAAAAACTCTCTGAGAAGGGCCCTGTAGCTGGATGGTGAAGTTCTCTCTGTAGGCTGAAGCTTTCCATCCTGGGCTGCGGAGAATCTGTTCACAAATTCCATGTCATATTTACGTTTGTTGCAGACCAGCTAAAGATGTTACATATGAGAATTACTTTCTGTAGAAATGGATGAATAATCTTGTCTAGGCAATTTCATAGAAAATAGTTTTCCAAAGCAACTCTGCCTTCCGTAATCCTTAAAAGAACTGAAGGAACAGGCTGGTCTGAGGCAGCAGGAGGAGTTCTCCAGTTTTTTTTCTTCAGTGATCCAGATCTTCCTTTTCATCTCCTGATACAATAAACCCCATGCTTCTGCAGGAATAAACTATAGTGTTAATTGAAATTGATATAGGATACTTATTTAGAGTTGAGTATCTTAGGGCTATGCTGTTAAGTAGAGAGGTTTTCATGTGCTAGAATAAGAATTTTCAAGAAGTTGTACTGGTAAGACTATAGCAAGATAACTGGTTTGTAGAAAGTTTTTCATTTAGTCAAGGCCGAACTGCCAGTAGTTTTGGTTTCGGTTTGAACAGGAAGGAGATGCACTTCATCAAAAAGAAAACTCATGTCAGACCTTAACTTTACTGTCCTTGAAAACCTTCAGTAGCTGTTGTGCAGAAAGATGTTCTCTGACAAGTTGAACAAAAGCAGTTTGTGGCTACAAAACCTGTCAGTTAAACTTGCCAGCTCTTTGCCAGTTATTAATTGTGTCTTTCTGTCTTTGCTTACAGCTTCCATGATGTTTCAGTATTTTGTCAAAGTGGTCCCAACTGTGTATATGAAAGTAGATGGTGAAGTAAGTAAATTTTTTTCCCTCTTGCTTTGGCAAGTGAAAACCTTCAGACTTTCTCCTCATATTCTGTCACTGACCGTATCTGACCTCTAGTGGAAGCAACACAATCTGTTCCATTGTCTTCGGGTCACCACCCCAGGAAGAATAACAATTTCTATGGTGTAATGTTATCTGTAATGTTGCAGCAGTGATGAAGCAGATTTCAGACTCCTTCATCCCACCTAGATCAAAGGGATCGTGCCATTTTGATCACGTTCCCTCATGAATCCCTCATAGCGCATGTTCAGGAGAAGTCAAAGCAGTAAGGAGATCCTAAAAATGTCCTTTGGAGAATAACCCAAGATCAGCTTGTCTCCAGTTTCAAAACTCCTTTAGCCTCCAAAAGAGTGTGGCTAGATTTCCAACCCTGCTTGCAGAATATATCCTATTGTGACAGGTAGGATAAACAGATTACCAAGGAGCTACCAGGGTGAGACAAAGATCCTGAGAACAGAGACAAATTTATACTTTCTTCTGAAGCCAGCCTGAGGGAGCAGAAAGAACTATGATTTCTTTCATTCATTTGGAAGTGTTTATCTGGGTTGCCATCATTGCGCAGGGGATCTCAAGAGCTATGGAGAACCTCTTTTTAAAAACCAAACCAAACCTGTCAGTTATCATTATTTAGGCCCCCATAGTCTTAGGGCAGCAGAGTGATGTGAGCTGTTCTGTTTCTTTTGCAAAGGAAACAGCAGCAGATGAAGCAGCAGCTCTGCTGTTCTGCAGACTTCAGCACCAGTGCTAGCCATTGTACTGACCCAGCCCTGTGAGGAAGAGACAGGTGCCACACGCCCCAGTACCTCTGTGAACATTCACATACAAGATGGTATAGCTTCCTAGCTGTCTCTCAGGTCTTGGTTCTGTATCTTCTACGCTTGTCCGTGCCCAGATTTGCATTAACACCAAAGCAGTCTCCTCTGAGGTGAAACCCAAGTGTGGTTCTGGGGCTTGTTCAGTGCAAGGGCTGATCTACATGTGGAGGAAACTTTGCCAGATTTTGACTCCCTTGCCCTACGCAGGTTTATAACGCTGTGCAAACCCCACAACGCTGGGAACCCTTAACACCTCAGGCTCTTCACCCAAACTCATGTCACTCTCAGGCATGTGCCACATATCCTCTCACTCCGGACAACATACTGCTTCACATCCACACAACCTTCATGTTGCTTTCAGCACTCTGAAATATAAATAATCAGCAGATTATTAGTTAATGTCAGAGGCTACGCAAGAACCACAACTTTGAGGAGTCACACGGCCACAAGCAGATACAATGCAGATGTTCAAGCAAAGCTATGCTAGAGCATTGTGGGCAGAGCAATCTATCAGAATCCATTGAAAAGGTAGATATAGTTTATATTTCTTCATTGACTGAAGATTGAAACTGTTTGCAAGACTCAGTTCTCGTGTGATAAATCCTTATGTGGACCACTCTTTCTTCAGTCCCCTGCCTAGAAAGGACACATCTGTTCTTTCTCAGAAGTTGGGTGGAAGTTGCTTGCTATGAGGTGGTATTGGGAGAACCTTCCAACCATTTTTGAAGCTCATTCTGCTTGGATTCAGGATGCCTCTGCAGTTTCTGTGGCTAACTGAAATGCCTAAAGTACAAAGGATAGTTCATTGGAGCCCTGTTCTTATGGCCACCTCCCAGTATACCATGGCTTCTATTTCTCCTGATGAAAGCTTGCATTCTACTGTAGAGCTGTTGTTCAGTTTTCAAAGGACTTCTCCTGTCAAAAGAATTGCTTTTTATTAGTCACTAGGAGAGGAATCCATGCAGGCCACGATGCTCATACTTAGGGTAACTGTGGATCCAAGTGCGCTGCCAGATGTCTACCAGGGGCTATGTTATACTGTTAGTACTTGGAACCCCCAAATGTGGAATTTGGTAAAGAAACTGGATAGTATCTTTCTCAGCTTGGAGCATAATTTGTGTCAGATAGCTTACTAGGGGTCATAGAACATAATTTCATTTTACAGAAACCCAGTTTGTTTGCTCTAAGAATAGGACTGGTTAGAACAACATGTAGAAGAATGGCAGGGCACACAAGGATGCTGCAGGCTGAGCTTCATTTCTATAAAGATAGGGAATCTGTGTCCTTCTGCAGCCCTGGCACTCTCCTGCCTTTATGTATTATTTCCTTTCTTCTCACTCTTGAATGTATATGGCTCTCTCACATCAGTGCTGTCTCTTGAAGCATGCTCAGGTGAATGCATTTTGGTAGAGGATGACGTGGACTTGGGGTTGAGGTTGAGAGAGACAGCTTATGCCATTATTTGCCAGCAGAGACCAAAACAGCCCAGCCTGTGGACTGGTGCATCATTCGTCATTTGGGTAGCTGGGGCTTTAACTGATAGCCTGTAGTAAAAATAGACTTGATCCTGATGGTGCTCTTTGTGACCCTCTGTAACCGGTGTCAGTCGCCCCCCAAGTGAGTGGGCAGGACGACATTGATATGGTCCACTGAACTCATGGTTTAGTAGCCTTTCCTTTTCCTTGTTAGCAAAACAAGATTTGCTGTGTTTGTTTCCTGCTAGGTGGTAAGGACCAACCAGTTTTCAGTTACACGACATGAGAAGATAGCCAACGGGCTACTAGGAGACCAGGGTCTGCCTGGTGTATTTGTGCTATATGAACTTTCGCCCATGATGGTGAAGCTGACAGAGAAACACAGGTAAGAGACGTTACAATCTATTTCGTTCACCCTTCATTGATTTTGTCATTTTGCATAGCTTCAAACGCCCTCCTTGCTTAGACAGGACAGCGCAAATGTTTGAAAGCCATCCAATCCCCTTCCTGATCAGTGGAGAGGAAGAGGTGCTCCCAGATGCCTTTCCTCTCCGTGTGAACGTCTGAAAGGGGTTGACATATTGGTATCTGAGCTCATGCTGGTGGTTCAAATTTTTTTCCTCGTTCTAGGTCTTTTACACACTTTCTCACAGGAGTTTGTGCCATCATTGGAGGCATATTTACAGGTATTGTACCTTTCAATCTTTTTTCCTTCTAAAGTATAAGAAGTTGCCATCTTACTCTTTCTAAAGTCTTCATGGCTGGTAGTAAGTCCCTGTTTGATGGGAAGAGATGATTTCAGCCTTCAGGATGTTCTGTGAAGCCATGGGAGTGGCATCAGATTGTAATTAGCACTGCAGACTTTCAAGATGCTGTAGGTCATTTGATGAAATATTTCATTTCATTATGATGTAGACCTATCATATTTCATTTTGATGCTCTACAGGACACTTGGTTTTCAAATAATGTGGCCTTTCACATAGCATATGAATGCATCTGTACTGTTTTCTTGGCCAGCTTGGGTCTGTAAGCAGATAGTTGCTTTCATGTGGAACCAAAGCCAGTAAAATCTGTGATAGTGTAGCTGTCTCAGAGGTCTCAAACTGTGTTCCCGGACACAGGCGCTTCAGTGAGTGCTCTGTAGAGACTAAAAGTAGCCCTCACAGCTAGATGGCGTCCTGTAAGGAGAGGCTGTACCTGCAGAGCCATTTGAATGTCTGAACTTCATTCTCAGTGCTGGCTTGTGGAATAGCTAATCAATATCTACTCAGTGTGTGATAGAGCCCAGCCTTGGTCCAGCCTTGCACTCCAGGGTGTTCTAGTCAGAGATGTTCACATGGCTGTGAAGGGCCAGCCTGGAGATCTGGTCAGCAGATCTTACTGGACCTGAGAAGCCAGCTACTGTATCATGTGACACCTGTATCACATACCTATATCACATGATACCTTTATCTGCAAGGTTTTCCTGTCACCTGAGGTGTCACGATGCTCAATTGACCTGATGCTGTCAAACAGGATTTCTGTCTGTAATAAATTTGATCGTATTCGTTTCTATGGTTGACTTGGGGAAAGGCTTTACGAAGTTCAAGTACCTCTAGCACTGATGAGGTCTGACAGCCAGTTCATAGTTTTTGCTGCTGTACGCCATGTTCAGACTCTCTGCGTTCTAGAGGACAGATCAAATCAGCTGTGTAACTGTTTTTGTGTTACAGCATCAAATTGATTCCACAAATAGAGATAATTTCAGAGCAAAACAGCCACAAAAGACAGTCATCTGAAGCATTACTCAAAGAACAGATACTAAGGCAAATAATTCCACATTCTACAGTAATAAACAGAAGACTCAGTTCCCATTTTGGCTGCAATATAGTGTTGAAATGTCTGTCTTTGTGTAGGGCCAAGTAATTGCTTACTTATTGCTTAAATTGAGGTGTTGAATAAAATAAAAAATAGCATGAAGCTTCATAAAGGCATTGAAAATACCTTTGCTCACTGGCACCCTGTGTTTCCTCCCTAGCAGGAGCTCAGGGTTCCTGTCCTGTGAAAGCTGCCTCCATGGAGGCAGGGTTGCCTGGGTTTTGTGGTGCAGTAGACCCATTCTCAGCTTTTCTGTGATCACAGATGAGCACTGAATTAATAGGCTCCTTCAGTGCTGGAGACATTTGGAGAAAATACTGCAGAAAGAACTAAAGGCATCAGTTTGTTTGTCCTTGGTGGGTAAACGTTGTGGTCTGAGATAAAGGGCATCCATCAAGAGCAGCATCGGATAGAGTAGCTTACTTTTGAGGTTACTGTGAAATGAACAAGAAATGGGAAACGTGCGCTTGGCAAGCTGAGTCAGGACAATGGCGTGGCATAAAGCTCTCAGCATCCGTTTCCTCCCCAAACTCTTCTCAATCATCAGTAAACACACATGACTTAGCCTGTCTCGTTTTTACTTCTGTAAGAGAGATCTTTTTCTGGAGAAGCATGCTTTGCCCGCCAAGCTGGATCTTGTCTGTCCTGATGAGAGGAGGACCTTATTCTTCTGAGCAGCAGCAGCTGTTTTCTGTCTGGAGGAGCTGGAATTCCTTTCCATTAACAGAAAGGGTTTGTGTTTTCTTTCTGTCTTTGAGGCATGTCTGGCTCGATCCATCTGTTTTTTCCTTTTAGTTGCAGGATTCATTGACTCCTTGATCTATCACTCAGCACGTGCCATCCAGAAGAAAATTGAACTTGGGAAGACATCATAAATAAGCAACGACCTCACCCCACAAAGAAAACTCTTAAGGAGAACTAAACAGGTTTTTCGAAACACAAGTGATCTTCTAGGTGCATAAGAGCAGAGGTTTGGAATTGCCAGATGTCCCTAACCACTCTTATGTTACCCTCCCCTCATGCTTTGGCATTAATTTGTGGATGCAACTGCTTGAACTTTGCTGCTATAAAGATTAGTCATCTTGTCTGGCTGTGCAGACCCTACTGTAAAAACCCTTTTATGTCAGTCCATGTTCATCCAGTTCTGTCCCCATCCCCAAAAGAGATGCTGGAGATACTGCATTCTGTTTGCCCCCAAGAATGATGTACTGTATTGTCATGAGAATGGATTGCAGTTGCCATTAAATCAGCTTTTTAAATTTTTCTTAAAAATGTTTATGAGTGTCCTGATGCTGCATGCCAGACCTCTGTGAAAATGTGCTGAATCCCCTGTGCTCTCATTCTAGCTGTGCTGAGCAACACAGTGAGCCCTAGCACTACCGTGGAGCATTGCTGTTGCTCCAGATCGCTCTTCTTACAGAAGATGCAAGTGATGTTTCAGCAAAAAGGCATTGGGAGTTTAAACTGATTTTTAAATTGGACTGTGGTTTTCACTTCCCCTCTGTGAAACTTTGAAATAAAGTCCATCCTCTGTGTGTTTTGATAAAGCATTTGGAAGAATAATTAAATTATTTGAACTAATCCTGGTACTGATTGTTGGGTTGTTGGGGTTTTTTAATTAGTTAGACTTGGCTACAAACCAGGGAGCATAAAAAACCCTGTGTTTTTTCAATCAGGAAGAGAAGCAATTGGAGGTGTGGGTAAGGACACTTCAAGCTAAAACACTGAAAAAAAATGGGTTTGAAACAAGGATATTTAATAAATCCATCAGGCCAGGATCACATAGTACTTCTACAATGTGAGGAAGGGGACACAGTATCTATATGTTTTATTCAGGAACAAAAATTGTCCTGAACAGCTTCAATCTGTCAGCAGAGCACACAGCTTTATAACTAAATTTGAAAGAATAATTGGGGGGGGGGGGGATGAATGGAAATAATGCAGCAAGAGTTTAACCCACACAATTACCAGCTAATCACTTGTCTTTGTTAAGAAAGCAAATTACTTGCAAACCTCAGAAGAGCATTGGAGGGCATCGCACAGAGCTCTGCTTACAGAAAATAGAGGGAAGGTGAAGAGGCAGGTAAGTGCAAGACATGTACTCAGTATGGGAAACTGGATGTAATGGAGGAGAGAAAGGAAGACATCCAGAAGTGGAGATTCCACCTGGAGAGGTAGAAAATGAATGAAGGTAATCGTTAAGTTATACAGGCTTCTGCTATAACATGGGAGCTTATGTGTAGGAGAGATCTGGTGATTTTAATAGACTAGAAGACCAAGTGACTAATCGCCGTTGAAAAGCTGAGCCTGATTCAAGGATGTTGGTATTTGTGATGGAAAGTGGGAAAGGACATCCTGCTGACCCTGCTGTGGTGGAGAAAGCCTCCTTTGGGGAGCTCAGTCTCCAGGGTCTGCAATTGTCTTCCGCAGGGTGAGGCTGAGTTAAGTTGTGCTGTCTTCAAAGCAGTAAGGGCTCAAAAAAGTAAAGCAGATGTTAATAATTGATTCACATGTGTTTACTCAGCGTAAGATCATTTCAACTGTACTTGATGCTGTCGTCTTCTCGCTTAGCATGCTTGATTTTTTTCCTTTCTTACTGGTAATTTGATACAAATTTAAAAGTATTTCCTTAGTTATTAAAAGGAAGGAAAGATGTCCCTCTTCCCCCTGCCCGAAGAACCTCCCCCAAAAGCCACTAGTGGTTGGAAATGTCATTTCCATCATGCAGCCAGCCACGTTTGAGCAGCTGTTGTCACCACCCTTGCTGTCACCCAAAGGCTTTGCCACTGCTGCAGGGACACGCACAGCAGCTCACAGGTTCCACGCCCACCTCCAGCCCCACCATCTCCCCTTCTTCTGTCCCAGCCAGCATGGGCAGAGCCACGCCCACCCTGTGTCCAGCCAAATGCAACGTCCCTAGTGCCATGGCAGCGTGTCACCTCCTGGCACCCGTGGTGCCCAGCTGGTGGGACCAGCGCATGCAGCACCGAGACCCCGGGGATCGCAGGGTCCGTGAGCCTGGACATGGCAACACTGGCAGGGAAGAGCAAGCTAAAGAGCCGAGGCAGCTGCCAGCAGTGCAGGGGGCTGCCAGTTCCTGTGCTAATGGCCTGGCTTCAGTTTCTTGAAAAGGCATCATTTGTAGAATAAAATCCTGCCTTCGGCTGCCAGTCTCTCGATGATGCTGAATTCAATGTCAGCGTCGTGGACCCTTGTCCTGCGAAAAGCTCCGGACCAGCGGTTTTTCTCCCAGTAGTGGTGCCAGTTCCCTTCACCATCTGCCCCGAAGCCAAACACGGAGACCTGTGCACACAGCAGCAAGAGCTGTTGCTGCACGGGCACTCGGTTTGTCTGAGTGTGCACAGACAAGCGGTGCGGTGGTGGTACGGTGGCAGCTTGCACTCACCTGCTGGCAAGCGTGCAAGGCGAAGAGCAGGGCCGTGAAGCCGGTGGAGGGGTACCGACCACGGCACTGTGTCCAGTTGTCATGGATGTACTTGAGGAATGCTGGGCTCAGGATCAGCACCTGCATGGGGAGTGAAGGAGATATCACCATGCTGCCAACAGGACAGCCAGCCCCCGCCACCAGTGCAGCCATTGGCCCTTCTGCTTGCTGGCTCTGCTCATGGCCTGCTGAGAAACAAGCCCAGTCTCTGCTCAGAGAAGCCCTGCCCTGGGAGGAGCTGGAGCCTGCCAAGCCCTTACCTTGTTTTGGTCAGCTTTGATGAACTGTTTCACTCTCATATATGTGCTGCAAAAGGCAGAGGATGGCAGTGAGCATGGGGCACCCCTGCTAACAGGACCTCTCCTTTGGAGGCAGATGGTTTCCAGAGGGTTGCTGTGTCCACCAGTGACAGCCTCATGGTGCCCCCAGCCCCTTGGGCTCGCCCAGCAGCATTGTCTGGCCTGGTTCTGGGAAGGGACGCATCAAGCTGATGGCCCCACAGTGGGGACAGACACCGTTCCACCCATGGGCATTATGGGACTTGCAAGATGCCCAAGCCCTGTGGAGATGGGTCAGTGCCTACTTCCCCAGATTGCAGTGCAGAGGGGTGCTAGGACCCTTGCCCCGGGACCCTTCATCCCACTAGGACTGTGGTGCCAATAAGACACCAGGGTCCCCAGGACCACCCTGCGCCACCCCCCCGAGTCTCCAGCACGAGAGATGCCATTCTCTGAAGCCAACGCACTGCGTGAGCTCGCCCGTGGAGAAGGCACTGGCCACCCACTGCAGGTCCAGTGGCTTGAAGGGGATGAGGACGAGGTGGATGCCAGGCCCAAGGTCCACCGCACTCTCTGGGTACATGAAGTGATGGGTTGTTCTCATGCCAACATCCAGCTCAAAGCCAGCAATCTTCGCTCTGTTCATCCTAGGGGACAGCAAGCCAGCATGTCCCAAAACGAAGGTGCACACCGTGCCAGTCCCAGGCTGCCAGTTGCATGGGGCAGGGCCACCAGGTCACCCTGGACAGCACTGCAACACAGAGCCGGTGTGTGCCCCAGGGAGGGGGGCTCCAGGGAGCAGGGCAAGCAATGCCACCCCCACCCCCACCCCCCACACCATCGCAGGGCTTGTATTGGCAGATTTCAGAGGGGGCTGGGGCACACCAGGGTCGCAGGGAGACAGGACAGGGCCAAGCCCCTTCAAGTCACTCACCTCAGCACCCAGTCATGGGCGTCGATCTGCGGCCCGTGGCCAGACCCCTTCAGCCACCCCGAGTTCCCTACCACCGCACAAGTTCTGCAGTGAGATGGGTCCCATATGCTGCCGGTTGGGGCCCGGAGGACAGTGAAGAGCTTCCGAATTGTGTCCTGGAGCTGGACACCACTCGGGGGACCCTGAAGTGTCTGAGGGAGCAAGGGCAGTGACAGGTAGCATCAGCG